TGTTTCGATATATTGAAAGTTACTTACATGATGATTATTATTATTTTTAGTCTTCTTTTCCCGTCTGATGCATAATGATGCACAATTTCAAATTTATCTGATATATTTGTTTAATTTTACCAACTTAATTGTTATATAACAAAATTGTAACAATATTTCTCATTTTTGTTGCAGGTACAAAGCGGCCCCATATATTTAAGAATTTTAATATAATTTATTAAGTGTAGTTTAATTAATATAGACAGTTAATTTGCATATCAACAACAAAATTTGTTCAAGTTAACACTATCAATAATCAAGTAAGATATAACTAATGTGGCACATCGATGTACCTTCGCAGATAGTTAAATTTAGAAGCACGGCAAATGTTGGCTGTAGCAATGTCGCCGAACAGGTAAAATTCCGTTCAATGATCAGGCATTAAATATCTCTAGCACTCGTGCGCAAACATCTTGCTATTGCGCTCGCACAGATGCATCTAGCCAGTTTTGTCATAGTAAAGTGGACCTAAAATGCTTATACGAGGGTCAAACTGAAAGTTCTTAGAAAATCAAAAACTGATTACATTAGCCAGTTATTAGTTTTATTATATCTTTTCAAAATATTGTCCATTCACGTCAATACACCGCTGCATGCGATGGAACCACTGGGAAAAGCACTTTGCCCACTCGTCCTTAGGGGTCTCTTCAATGGCATCGCGATACGCAGCCACCGCTTCTTCAGCATTCATAAACCGCTTTCCTTTAAGTTTTTCTTTAATTTTTGGAAATAAATAAAAATCACAAGGCGCGAGGTCGGGGCTATACGGCGGGTGACCCAGTAATTCAACGTTTGATGTCGCCAAATAGTCGATCGTTCGCTTGGCGGTGTGCGACGAGGCGTTGTCGTGGTGAAGGAGGATCCTACTGCGAGGTCGTTTCTCTCGAACTTTTTCCAAGACAAGTGGCAAACAATTGGTAGTGTACCATTCTGCAGAAACTGTTTTTTGATCCTCTAACACAATTGTTGCAAAATGACCTATCCTTCCAAAGAACGAGGCCACCATTTTTTTTCCCGCACTTCGATCTCTCTTCACTTTAGTTGGCAACTCCTCGAAAGGAAACACCCACTGAGCAGATTGTCTTTTGGTTTTAGGATCATAACAGTAAATCCAGCTTTCGTCACCTGTTAGTTAGTTTGTCGAACACAGCATTTGAGTCACCTCCGTTAAATCTTTCAATCATTTTACGACACCAATCCACACGATGGAGTTTTTGAGCCTCAGTCAAATTATGAGGTATCCACCGGGCGCAAAGCTTCCTGACCGCTAAATGTTCGTGGAGGATTTTGTGCACTTGACTCATACCGATGCCTAAGCTTGTCCGAATCTGTTGATAGGTCACTCTTTTGTCAGTCTCTATCATACGCCGCACAACACAGATGTTATCTTCAGTCGTCGCCGTAGAAGGCCGTCCCTCACGTAAATCATCAGTGAGATTAGTGCGACCACGTTTAAACTCATTAAACCAGTTGTAAACAGTCGCACGAGATGGGGCTTCATCGTGAAAGGCCAATCGTAGTCTATCATAACTTTCTTGTTGACTTAAATGACATCGAAAGTCATAAAAAATCATTGCACGAAAATTTTCTCGTGTTAAATTCATGATGACGTGACACAGACAATTTTCAATTTGCCGCCAAATCGTAAAAAAAAGACAAATGAATGAAATATATACTCAGTAATTCAAAGTATCAGTATTGGCAAAGAGTTATATTTTCAAATTTTAGAATTATTTTTTTATTATATTGTTTATAAGTGGCCAGTTCTAAGAACTTTCAGTTTGACCCTCGTATCTATCGAAGGCCAACGTACGAAATTCTTTATGTTCGGCGACCATGTTATAATAAGAATGATTGAAGTATCTCGTTAAAGGGTCTGCGCAAATGAGGATTTACCACTAGTATATTTATTAGTCGTGTTGAGTATTTAAGTTGGAACTTACTGTACCAGGATGGCGACCACCTCAATCGCTCGCTATAATTCTAGCCATGGCAATAAGAAGGCTTCATTAATTTTATCAACGGCTAGATTACCCGGTGCACTTCGAATCACATCTCATCGTTAAAACCTTCCCTGGACTACGACAAAGATTGCAAAACCATAAACAGTTAAATCGGCTCAGGTGCTCTCGAGTTAAAGCTAGACAAAAGAACAGCAATTGATTTTTATATACTCTTATATAGATAGATAATATATTCTCTTATAATGCTCTTGCATTATTATTCACACATAAATCAATGGTTTGATTGTTGCATTTTGCTAAAAAACTAAGCTGTTTCGAAAACTGAAGTTAACTAAAATGTTTATTAGGTATAAAAATAAGAACATCTTTAAAGAGTCAATATTTTATTGATAAAATCAATGAATCGTTTTGTAACTACGGCTACAGTTATAGTGAGAGAGTTAGGTGATCCATGTTTAATCGTCAAAGGCAACGTAATTTACAGTGTGGTTTAGTTTTAGTCGATACTGTAATATGTTCTAGGCAGTTACACATGAGTTGCTAGATATTTATTGACGCTACTTTTCAGACAAATTTCTTATAAGTGCTTATTAATTTTCTTTAGTATATCTATCACCTATTTCTATTGTCATTAGATCTGTTCATTTGAGCTTTTAATATACTTGTGAATAATCAGCGTTATGTATATTATTTATTTCTAGTTAATTTACTGTTCAATGTTGTTTCTGTATTTTCATTCCGACGATTGTAATAAATCATTGCCCCTTGAAATTGACTATTATCTATTACTTTGATGTTTTATTTGTTTTTGTAATGTAAAATCTCGAGTTTGTAATGTTTGTTTGATATTTGTTCTATTAATATTAGTGTTGTCATTTTATTTAAGGTGATATCTTAAAATTGATCACGTGTTCTATCACTTATGTAATTTGTCGAATTTGCTAGTCTTAATTTAATTGAACTAATACGAAAAATATATTAAACTTATAAAGTTTGGTATCTAAACTGATAATTGTACATAGCGAAAATTTTGTGTATTTTAAAGTTTAATTTATTTTAAATTTGTCAGTTACAAATCATCCGTTGTCCTTATATTGTGAATTTGACTCCTATAAGTAATAATAATAAATAATGCATTCCGTATGTATGTTTTTTCATTTCACTCATTGAACTATTTGGGAGTTCCTGGTTTAGCCAGTTATCTATATATATAAAAATGAATCGCAAAATGTGTTGGTAAGCGCATAACTCAACAACGCCTCGACCAATTTGGCCAAATCTTTTTTTAAAATGTTCGTTGAAGTTCAAGGATGGTTTTTAAGCGAGAAAAATTAGAATTATTGCTGGAAAAACCCTAAAAATAGCCCTTTTCTTTTTCCCATACAAATGATTTGTAACTAAAACGTAGTCAATTTGAGCTTTATTGCTATGGTATAAAGTTCATATTAAATTACAAGCACTCACTGTTGTCTAAGCAATGTAGGTGTGTTCCTAACGTCAAAGATCATATCTATCAAAACAATGTGCGTGTGTGCGTTGGAGCACAGAATACATAGTTGGAGGAGTTTAATGTCGCGTTCCGAAACTCGCGTTTCTTTTGTATTAGTTTCGGCACGCGAGATAAAATGCATCAGTTTCCACGTCATTACATGTATTGCCGGAACATTGATGAAAATACGCTCTGTAGTAGCAAAGCTGTTGGGTCCTAGATAGCTCATTGGTTAGACCAGTCCCTGGATCGCGAATGGGTTCGAGTCCCATTCCGGGGTACAGGTAGATGGATTCTTCCAGCATTTTTCCTTGAGAATGTTTATATATTTTTTTAATTCGAATAGTTTACTTTTATAATGCTGTTGTGTGTAATGTGTTATTATGATCATAAAAATCTCTTTTTTCTATATTTAATACTATTACTATTAATACATTGCAATAATAATTATGATTCACATGATTAACAATAAAGCGATTACTTACTTTTAAATCCTTATATATGTTTTATTTAATTATTTTTTATTCACAACGCCCTATCACCAGGGTGACGGTTCTGTTCAGGAGAATTTTTTTAAATACGTAGGCAAAAAAACTGCCACATTACAAATCTTTTTGACAGGACGAAGTCTGTCGGGTCAGCTAGTGTATAAATATAACTGGCTAATCTATGAATAATCTGTGAGGATTTATTGCTATTTGAGCCCTTCAAACATCTTCGCCCTAAATTATAAGCTACGTTACCCGTGTATGATGTACCTTGCCACAGGTTGAAAGAGTTTTTTTTAATCTTTCCAGTTCTTTCAGTCTATTCAATGCATGCAGATGCAGAATTTTCATGATCATATAATGATATAAAGATTTTCCTCTCTAAATATCCATTTTGGTTTTGTAGGTTACTACGTGTTTGCTTTCCAGCGTCGATATGTAGGTTGCTTTTATAAAAAGGTTTGTATTAAAGTTTGCATGGAAGTTTGTCATTGTCAAAGATGAATAAAACATTGTATTATACGATATAATGAATAAAAATTTGTTTTAAGAAATACTGCCCAAAGTAACTATATTATGCGGACGAAGTCGCTGGCAGCAGCTAGTAGTATATTAAAAAATACATAAATCACTACCCATATTTATGTAGATATAGAAAAGGAGAGGAAATAGCTTTTAAACCGATCATCGATTGATTTTCTGGAAAGTCTGCAAGATGAAGAGTAATCAGAGAAGTGTCTGTACAAAAACCAAATAGAAAGTCAAGGGAAAATAATCTTTATTTAAACAAAGTTATTAAAAATACATTTGAGGCGTGGAAAAATTTACGCAATAAAATATATATCAGTGCGCCGAATAATCCCAAAAAAGCAGGACTATGGCAGTCCCACGCAGCTCATTTAATTTTGGGTTAAAATCGGCCTAACGCCTGGCAATGCTGTTTTATATCTACCTTAAAGTATTAATCATTAAAACAATATTTATGGTAACATTTATCCAAAGATTTTTTAGCATTCATTCTTATTCACCTGTAGCGAATGTTGACTCGTTCTTAGTGTGTAAATAAAATTCACCCCAATTTGTTGGACTAGCAAGGTATCCCATCGGTGTAGCATTCGATTTACATTTTCCTTGTGCGAAATCGTCCCAACTTTCACAAGGGTAGGCCAAAAAGGGGATATCAGAGTTTATGGACTCTAGAAAAAACTGATGAGATCGCCCGTGGCTGCACCCCTCTGTAGCACGGTGAACATGGAAAAATATATTTAAATATATAAATGTACCAATTACTTACATGAAAAGCTGATAGGTATATAATATTAAGTAGACTATCGAGGAAAGTTTGTACACAAAACAGTACTTCAGGTTACCACAATATGTCAAAATTTAGGAATTGATTTTGAACTCTGCCTTCAAAATATACTTAATGAGAAAAATCAAAGTAAAAATGATCTAATAATCAAATTTTGAAGAAGAGAGAAGCTGGACTGTGTAATTTGTATAATTATTTTTTTATCACACCTTGTGACTTGATGCCTTTTGACAGTAAGAAAAACTAATGAAATCACACATTTTACTAATATGGCAGATATAAATGCTATAAGCCAGAAATATTTTATTACAAGTTTATGCATACTATATGCGGAAAGACTTTTCCCCAACCTAATATTAAACGCACACGGCTTGTTAGTACCTACCTACCTACCTAAAGTTGAAAACTCAATAACCGCTTACATTGTGGTTCTATGTATTATGTGTTATGTACATTTTTACAGATTCAGACTCCTGTTTAATCCAAGACTCGAAGCTATATTTTGAAAACTGCGACTCTATAGTAATAAATATTAACTTTTATTCAAAATATATGCTAATAATAACTTTATACCTATTTTGAATCCACTACCTACTTTCTTTCTACTTACTTTTTGGTGATAAGTTTTAAACATTGATCACTGATGATAAAAGCATGCCAATATTTGGCTTCAGTACTAACCTATAATATTTTGACCGCCGCCACAGCCTGGTTGACATGGTTTCCCATTGTTGGGATAAAAATCAGCGTGTCCATGACTAAATTTATACCCATATACACCAGCGCAAGTATGAATGATATCGACAAACTGTGCGTCACTCTTCTCTAAACGATGGTTTTCGGCCATCATCGGTAGTTCGAACATGGGCCTCGCTGGGTCGAGTCCTGTAAATAAACTGTGAATAGGGTCAGCTATACTTGTTTTGAAGGTCATGGTCCGTTCTTATTGGATTGGATTCCATTCATAATGCCTGTACCTTAGTAGTGGGATATTATTAGGCTGGTGATGATGATATAGCGAAGTTATTGATTCAATTTAAAGGTTCAATTAATATTTACAACTTAGGCCATGCAAGGTTCATGGAGAAATCTCTCCAAAGTTATTTACCCACTTTTATGTAAGTTATATTGTGAAAGCTCAAGTGCTAAAAACAGCAAAAATTATAGAGTAGGTTATTTGCTTGCACTCTGGCTGTTATTTGCTCGGATTTTCGACAACAGTTGCTCTTTTAAGGCCTAACTTAATGGCTGATTAATTCTATTGGCCTATTTCCAACCACATGATAGAAGGTTGTGTAATAAGTAAAAAGAACTTACCTGTTATTCTCTGAATTCTTTGTTTAGAGAAATTGCCAACATAACCCATTACATGTGCTCCAAGACTATGTCCGATAAGATGAATGTGACTGTTGTTTAAATTGAATGTGTCTGATAGAGTTCCCAGTAATTTAGATGTCCGTTTGCCGACATATCTTGTGCATAATGCTGCCCATGGATAAAAAGGGTTTTGTGATATTTCATGCCAATCAACTGTAATTACGTTTATATCGGCAGTTTGTATGAACCTATTTTTTATAGACTGCAACCACTCTGTGGTTTCTTTAGACATCCATCCGTGCGTTACGACTCGTATATCATTTGATTCATTGAAATATTTGCTTTGAATGGGTGAACCATCTTCAGGCAAACTCAAGAGTTCCCTATTTTCCATATTTTGTCTGGTGAAGAACGACAATAGTATCATTATTGCAAATTAGTCACTATTATTGAAAAAAAACCTTTGCAAAATAAAAAAAGATATTTTACTAAGTTGGGACATCACTAAAGAGTATTTTTTTCCAGGCAAACCGCAATATTATATTTAACGCTACGCTTATTTTGGAGTACACATTGGTACATCAAATGCATGATATTCGTTGAAAGTCCTACCTGGTGTATAAATAAAAATAAACATCTCCAAGTAATAAGCTTCTCGTGTCCAGGGGGAGGACCGAGAAGTTCATTTCGTGAGTTTCACCATTGTCGTCCACGAACAAGAGCCATTTAGTACCGTAGTCTGGTCCGAATTCATTGTGATACTCCGAAGCGTACGAATACGCGCCTACTAAGTATTCAAATAGTCACAGATTATAAAGAAATTAGTAAATGTATTGTTTTGTATTTAGAACTTGATATATTTGACAACTACCATCATATCTTTGATCTATATTCATTAAAATTAAATATTTGAAGGCTCCGGGTGGGACTCGAACCCACGATGTTTTTCTGCCCGGGTAACTTTTTTATTTGCAATCAAATTTTTCATTGAATTTCTTTGCAGTGCTTCGTATTTTGTTATGAAAACATCGTAGAACTCGTCATCGAGCGCAACGTTGTTATTAAGATTCAATCAAATTAATCTACGTTTAAAGGTAATCAACTAATCTCTAATGTATTAACAAAAAATCAACAGAAATATGCTGCGTTGGTTCGAACACGTGGAAAGAATGCCGATCAGAAAACGAAAATACTGTACGCTTAGAACGCAAAAATGTAAGGATGGAGAAGCCGAGGTAGGCCATGGCACATCTTTCACGATTAAACCAATCGCGTGCGTAGTAGGTGGTTTCAGGAGACATGAAAGCCGGCGAGTATGGTAAGAGTAATGAAAGTAGAGAAGGGGAAAAATGTAAGTACTCGTGCCTTGTGGCAGTCAGTCCTCTCTGCCCATACGGTGTAATATAGCAGAGCGACCGCCTAGCTCTTTAACCATGATTTTAGGCATAGAACACATCTTATCGATGCTATGGCGAGGAGTAACGATCAACAAACGATAAAGAAATAATGATGATTACGGATTTGATAATAGTGTTAACAACTTAAGTAGCTCGGTGCCGTAGAGAATAGGCGCCGCGGCCCGCGATCGTTGTTGTTAAGCAACTTTCGCAAGGGTCGGTCACGGGATGGGTGACAAAAAAATTATTATCTCGAGCTACCGCGTGTTTTGGAAGGGACGTTAAGCCGTTGGTCCCGGCTGCATTTTCAGTCGTTAAAACCCTTCAATCCGCATTGGGCCAGCGTGGAGGGTCATGGCCCATCCTTCTTAACCATAAGGAAGGCCTGAGTCCCTGCAGTGGGGACGTAAAAGGGCTGGTGCACAAACATCCATTAAATTTTTCATTAGTTTAATGCACCATTACCCAGACAAATTTGACATCCATTAGACATGTCAAAGTAGTAATAACATTAAACTAAATATAGTCATAACATCGCTAAGATATCGTATCCTATGACTAAAATCAAGGAGAATTAGGTGGTGCTCTATGCCATGACAGTACTACGCTTGACATTGAGTTCGAGGCTGTTTTGTAACAGAATATCATAGCTGAAGCCACAAAGTTCGATTTTATTATCCAGGTTTTTTAAAAATCACAATTTTTAGTCGTAGCACTAAGTGGTTTCGTAGCGTAACTTACCTAAGAAAAGAAATATCCATTTTATCCACTCCAAATTCATTGTGCTTATAAATACACTTGGTTGTACTTTGCTGTAGGCTGAAAATTAATGAAACTAACTTATGGAAAGAGTCAGGTAATGCCTTATCATAGATGGAAACTAAAAAATTATGCTGATCGGAAACACCTCGTTATGTAGATATAACTGGGGTTATCAGCATATCTAAATGTTCGTGGAAAATGTGTTTTTTTTAATGTTATAATTAAGTAACTATGTCTATTAAATAAATTGCAATTAATCGTTAAATACCTGTATAATCTCTTCATCAACACTTCGAATTTCAATTCACTTTTCTGCAACTATTTTACTTCGAACCTTTTCTTATATCCTCTCTATTACAGTCTATTACAGTATCATACATAATTTTTTGACCTCTTTAAATGTTTATTTTCAACTAAATCATGTTTATTTATACAGGGTTAGATTTTAAACATCGGTTCATCGTTAGTATCGTTTCGTACTCGTTTAGTATCGTTAATATAATATATTATAAAATAAATGGAATTCATATTTCAATATTTGTATTATTATTAAACAACATTTTAATGATACAAATAATAAAAATGTGGATGTGGTAAACGAACTAGGCGGCGATTTTAAAAAAATGTAGGAATATGATTTTACTTATAACTATACTTCAACTGTAACTGTAATTAGAGTAAAACAACTACTGTTGGTGTTTAATGTTATGTTGGTGTGATTGACGACTAAACGTCGATCAGCTGAGTAACTATTACACCGTTCTTCTACAGTAGAACACAGTACATCGTAGTAAGCTCAGGAAACTGGTTATAACTGTCAAGGATCACGACGCTAAACACAATTATTATTTTTATTAATAGCAAAATATTCGCGATATTAGAATAAAATTACCTTGATATTTAACTTCGAAGCTACTACAAACATAAAACTATATATATTTATATTAATTTAAGGTACGTAGGCGGGATGATAAATAGCTAGCCCAACCCATATTTTGTAAAATAACGATATAAAATCTCCTTAGTATTTTACTCATTGGTTCATTAGCTGTCAGTGTTCCAAATTTCAAATCGATCGTAAAAACATTCTTTTGTTTTTTCTGCAAAATGGATAAAATTGAGCTACGAGCTGTGATGAAGTTTTTGCATTTAAAACGATTAAAAGGTGGAGAGATTTTTTCGGAGATGAAGGATGTTTTGGGAGAAAATGCTCCTTCATATGCGACCATAAAAAATTGGGTGGCTGAATTTAAACGTGGCCGTACCAGGTACCAGCACCCAAGATGAACATCGTCCAGGACGTCCAAAATGTGCCATTACTCCGGAAATTGTGATAAAAATTCATGATGCAGTTTTAGCTGACCGAAGATTGAAACTTTCCGAGATAGCTGATACTGTAGCATCTCTAAAGAACGGGCGTATTACATTTTGACTCAAGAATTATGTAAAAATTATCCGCAAGGTGGGTGCCGCGATTGCTTACAATTGACCAAAAATGCGTTCGTATGCAAATTTCACAAGAATGTTTGGACCGCTTTAAGAGTAATACAACTGATTTTCTGCGACGGTTTGTTACTACAGACGAGACTTGGGTTCACCACTATATACCTAAATCAAAAATTCAGTCTAAACAATGGACGGAAAAAGGGTCCCCGGCTCCAGAGAGAGCAAAAGTCGTGAAATCAGCGGGGAAAGTCATGGCGTCAGTATTTTGGGATTCGAAGGGTATATTGATGATTGTTTACCTTCCAAAAGGACAAAACATAAATGGCGAATATAATACTGATCTACTGGATAAATTAAAAGCGTGTATTCGTAAAAAAAGACCCGGCCTGGCTAAAAAAAATAATCTTTCATCAGGATAATGCGCGCGTTCACACGTGCATCACTACTGCGATGGCGAAATTCAAAGAATTAAATTATGATTTGCTACCACACCCAGCTAATTCTCCTGATCTGGCATCATCTGACTTTCATCTATTCCCTAAGCTCAAAAATTTTTTAGGTGGATAAAGATTTAAAAATAATAGCGAGGTGATGTCTGCCGTGGACAGTTATTTTGTAGGGCTTGAAGAAAACCACTTCAGGGATGGCACTAAGGCTTTAGAGCATAGATGGATGAAGTGCATAGCGCTTTTTTTTAAATATAGGAATAATTGTACAGTGCTTACATGAGAGTCAATAACTGATTCACACAACATTGATTAAAATTATTTTGAGATATTTGAAAATTCAAAATCGGTCCACCTAGTTAAAAGTTACGAGGTAACAAACAAAAACAAAATAAAGTCGAATTGAGAACCTCCTCCTTTTTTTGAAGTAGGTTAAAATACCTACTATCATATAAATTAAGACCGAGCAAGAAAATAATAAAAACTTAATATTAGGACATCGTGGGCTCCAAGCCATAGGGGCATAAGCAATACCTTAGTATTCAGGAGACTTCAATATAATACATGTCTGTCGATCACATGTCGGAAAGTGTTTTACTTGTATGTTTTCAAGTAATCTGCAGATTATTATTTAAAAAAAAAAAGTTTTGTCAGGATTAGAAAAGATTGGCGTTATAAAAAAATAACACATTTTTGCGTATACGGCCCTCTATGGATTGAAGCTCGCGTCATGTACGTCGACTAATATATTACAGCACTTTGAAAACTTTTAAGGTTTTTATCTAATTTGAAAAACAGAAAGAAAAACATGAATAAAATTACATAAAAACTTAATCGTAAACTGAAATCTATGCAAAATTCTTTGAATCAAACGATAGCGCAGTTTCGTTGAAAATAAACGCCATCTGGTATAGCAAAGATTAAAGTGCTTACTCAACTTTGACCAAACCTTAACGGCATCATTTATAGTTCAAAATATATAAAAAGTTGATATTTTTTCGTGTATAAAATGATTTGTACTTGAATATTTTCTAAATTTATAATGTCATTTTGTTCTAAATTATGTTGTCAAATACCAATTTTCATCACTATATAAGGTAATCTTTATAAATAATGATAAATAGATTTATTACAATGACAAATCAAATTGTAAACAATGGTTGTAATGGTAACAATTTGATTTCCCATAGAAATATCCACTCCCGTTTTTATCCCTATGTGGCCGCCAGCGACTTCCTCCGCGTTTTCCATTATTTCTTCGCTCCTAATAGTTTCAGCATGATGTTATATAGTCTAAAGCCTTCCTCGATAAATGGTCTATTTAACACAAAAATAATTTTTCAATTCGAACCAGTAGTTCCTGAGATTAGCGCGTTCAAACAAACCAACAAACTCTTCAGCTTTATAATATTAGTATAGATTACCCTCCCAGAGTTTTAAACTGTGTACTTAAATACCAAAAAAGAAGTATTATACAAACGTTTTCACCCTTTCGGACCCCCTTCGGGGTGGAATTTACAAAAATCCGTTGTTACTACCTTTATTCAATAAAAGGCATATCTCCTCGAAATTTCAAGTCTCTACACCAGCGGTTTAGGCTGTGCATTGTGTGTCAGTATGTCAGAACATCTCCTTTAATATATGCATAGATTAGACAACATCGCATACTTGCTCATATTCTAAGATGAGTCGCTAAAGCAATCTTCTTATGGAGTATCTGGGACAATGATTGTACCACAACACCCAAACCTGAGGCAATATAGAAAACTTCATTTATTACACAGATTTACTACATCGATCCAATAGCGAATATTTTTCGGGGATTCAGAGATAGCGATGATTTGAAATCGGCATGCGAACCGCTCGGCTTGGGATCCTAATTGCATTCATCATCTGCCCTTTTACGTCTCTACTGCAGGGGCTCAGGTCTTCCTTACGTATAGTTAAGGAGGGATCATTGCATATAATAACATTTTTTTACATAGCTGGTGTTTATTGTTGTTTTCAACTAGGAAGATACAGTAAGAACAACTTTAAATGCAAGACGGAGTCTTCAACTTTCATTCAAACTTGAGAGTTTGCATAGGTAATTTACAGTGAAAAGGAATAAAGAGAGAAAAATAATACTACATTATAATCATAGCAACGTTATTGTATTTTTATTTTTTGAATTGAATCCTTTTCGTGCTTACACGGTAAACACATGTCCTCAACACTTACAACTAAAAATATTCTAAAAATGAAAATAATGGAGATATTTCTGATTTATAAAATTGTAGCTTGTGCATTTTGTTACCAATCGAGGCGAACTTATAGTGGAGTTATTGGAATGATTGGAGTAACGATAAAGTGCCCAATATGATGCTATGAATATTCTATTTATCACTTATTGTGCTCAGATATTGTGCAAAATGCCTTAAGTTTTTTTAATATTCGGGTGCCCTGTTTCACCGCTTTTTCTGCCAATGTGCACATTACTTCGTTTACTTAATTTCCTTTATACAAACTGATATATACGATTTAGTTATAATAGACCATTATTCTAATATATTGCTATCTTTTCATTTTAGTCTATAGAAAGTGTCAAGTGACTTTAGGCTATGTTTCAAAAATGCTATAAGTTTCGAGTATTTTTTTTGTAACTTAATACATGACATAAAAGTGTTGCGTGTGTACGTAGAACAATAAATAATGTGCTCCATCACCGATAACCTACCGGCTACTTTAAATGATGATTAGTTTTTAATGCACTTCGATAGATTTTTCCCTTTATGGCTAATGTAAGTTTAATAGGTAAATGAAGGACAATTTTTATACTGGAAAAAGACTAGATATCACATGGTTTGAGCTATATATTATCCTTTTTTCATTCTTTCATAATCTTGTACGTCCGTAAAGTGACAAAACAACATCTAATAAAATAGGGGCGTGGAATCTTACTATGACCTGTTATTGCGATGCAAACACCGTTGTTAGACAAAGAAGTGTCTATTCCGTTTCGATCACTGGAGATGTATCGCATTAAGAGCACACAGTAAAATACCAGCTCTCATTCAGTGAGAGTCTCGATGAATAAGAGATTTGTTTAGAAATAACTCGAAGTAAATGGCCATATAAAACTTACACG